CGTCCTGTCTCTCTCTCTCTCTCTCTCTCTCTCTTTCTCTCTCTCTCTCTCTCTCTCTCTCTCTCTCTCTGTCTCTCTCTCTCTCTCTCTCTCTGTCTCATTCTTTCACCCTTTCTTTCTTTTGCTTCCTGACCCTCTGTTTCCTCTCTCTGTCTCTCGCTCTGGCTCTTCTTTTTGTGGCGCTTACCTTTTCTGTTTTGGTGAGACGTCAGAAGTTGCAACTGTGTCTGCTGCTTCGAGTGTATTCCTGGATTAATTGGCCGCCGGAAGTGAGGCTGCTTACGACACGGGAAAATGGCAAGGCCTTCTACTGCAGCAAGCCTCTGGAGGAATCGGCTTCGGGTGGGTGGGGGCGTGACCGGGTTCGGGTTTGTACCTTGGACTTGAACCTGAACGCTAGTTCCACCGTGGAAGGTGGCTGTTGGAAGCATTGCTGTCTGAGGAGAAGGCCTACAGCTGCATGTCTCTGCTGCTGTGCCCCGCTACAACAAAGTGGTGCAAGTCGGACATCGACATTGAAGCGCCGCCGAAGGAGGCTTTTGTGAACCAGGCCGGGTGTAGGACAAGCGCAGACTTGCAATTTGAAGTAAATGTTCGAGCCATGCGCCTACTCGGTCACTGATTCGTAGCATCTTTCTGGCAGTTGGGTGTGGACACCAAAGATGGCCAAGCTGAGCATGGCATAGAAGCAGCACTAGAGCTCGGAGTCTGCGAATTAGATGGCCATGAAATGCGATGGCGAAGTCGTCGCTACGTCTTTGCCATCACGCAGTATCGAGGCATGCTCCACTTGCCCGCGTCTGACGAGACTGTCTTAGTTTCTTGGGCAAACGAAAGCATGCTCGGTCACTGGTGCTCACCACAACCCGTAAGTTACGTCCAGCAGATGCTGAGCTGCAAGGTAAAGGGGAACCTTTGTATCGACCCAATTCTGGGCAAGAAAATGGTGCTGCCCTTCGCATGCATCAAAGCTCGAAAACAGGGGAGGTGCGACGATCTGGGGTATGGTATCGACGTTGTGCGCACCACGACCAGGGCCGTAAAAACACCAGGTGTCTTGCGGGTCAGCGCCGTTGCAAGCGCAGATTATGTTGACACGTTGAATGACAGATACCGCAATTACACTAGATGCCCTGCTGGCTTCTGCAGGATTGTCGTACTTTGTGCTGGCAATGCTGCAGCTTCGTGCGGCATGTGTAGAAGACCACAAAGAAAGCAGCAAGAAGCCTGGAAATAGAACAAAGAGAAAGCCAGGAAACCACTGCTCGCAAGCTAGCTGAGTTGCTGCAGTGGCCAAATTATCCACCAAACTGGTTTTGGACAAGTTAAAACCGAAAACTTTTGGTCAAAACTCAGGTAAAAGCTCAGGTCAAAACTCAGGTCAAAACTTTCGGTCAAAACTCAGGGACCCAAACCCTATACAATTTCTATAAACCCTAAACCCTACACCCTAAAACAACCTACTTTACTGAGTTCCCGTTGACATTCCGCAGCCCGGCTGCTGAAGCAAAAGGGAGAAGGAGATTCAGACAGAGATGGTTTAGGGTTTAGGGTCCGCCAGCGCAGCGGGCGCCCTAGCCAAATACTGGCTCAAAGGGGGCCTAATGATTTCTGCTCAAAAAGTTGCCTGGCTCTAATGACTTCTGCTCAAAATTGAGGGCTCAGGGTTCGCCGGCCCTGGTCCCTCGCTGGGTTAAACAGGGGGGGCTTATGCATATTAGCTCGGAGAATCTGGAAAACAGATTGGTTTTCCGTAGGTTTTTTTTTCTTTTGGGCCCAGCTCTGGAAACATGCTTGTTTTCCGTAGCCTTTGTCTCCTTTTGGGCCCAGCTCTGGAAAACATGTTTGTTTTCCGCAGCCTTTTTCACCTTTGGGGCCCAGGTCTGGAAAACAGATGTGTTTTCCGCAGCCTTTTTCACCTTTTGGGCCCAGCTCTGGAAAACAGGCCTCGGTATAATGCATATCTCCGGACGCTTTTGCATGTTTTCCCAGTCGGGCGCCTATACCTTCTTTCCCAATTGGGGAAGATGAAAAAAATTATGCCAAAAGTCCGTAAATTACGTTTAAAAATGTTGAAAAGTGGGTAAAAAACACCAAACTGATGACAAAAATGTTAGAATCGATTCCAAAATAGAACCGTTATTAGAGCCCTTAAGAGAGCCCCTATTCAAACCCTTGTAAGAACCCCAGCTAGAAGCCTTATTGTAATGTCTATCCTTACAGAAACACGGCCTGTAGAACCCATATTATAACACCTGTAAAACCCCTAATACAACCCCATTGAAACCCCTATAAGAGCCCCTATTAGAACCCCTATTATAACCCTTACTATACCCCCTGTTATACTCCCTATCAGATCCCCTAGTAGAACCTTCATCATCACTGCTGTAAAATATT